GGCGTGGGGGCCCCCACCTGGAGATAACTACCAAGAATCTGCTCACAACGTCCCCCCCGCCCCCACCACACACACACATATTCACAGTTTGCAGGGCCCTGCTTCTATAGAAATTCTAACCAAAGCCCATTAGCAGAGAATCAACTCAATGACAACTGGTTTTGGTTTTAAGGTTCAGGACTGGCACCCACCACTCAAACAGGCAGCAGGAGGAAGGGAAGCCAGAGGTGTTGACAAGTGGGCAGTTTAATGACTATGTGAGTATGGATTTCTCAGTGACGCCTCATCCCTGCCAGGGCCACAGTGGGGACCTGGGCTGATCTGAGATGGGGTGGGGCGGGAGCCAGTGTGAGTGGCACTGTGCCCTGGGGTGGAGAGGAGCCTCAGGTCTCAGAGGTCCACTTTGAAGCCAAAGTGGTAGAAAAGACACCCGTGTTTTGTATCTGGCCAACCAAAAACCAACCCATTGCCATCAGCTCGATTCCGACTCATAGCAACCCTATAGGACAGAGCGGACGTAATTAAACCATGACTCCTGAGTGAAAGAAATACTCTCCCTCCTCCCCCACCAGGTGCCCACATGAAGGTCTACCTACAGTTTACATTTGCAGAACAGCAGCAACTCCTCATACAGGCTTCTGTCTCCTGGTTTTCCACACAAATACCAACTCCCTGTGCCTAACCCATTGGAGGTTGAGGGGAGCTGCCAAAAGCCAAATCTGACAAATAGAAGCAAGAAGAGGTGCAGGTGCTGGAGATGGAATCAATTTACTCTGAAATCCAGCTATGATCTATGAGATTACATTCTAACAGATATCATCCTCTAATCTGCTGGAGTTTGACACTCAAAAACTATCATGTACATATTAATGGATATTAATAAATACTCCATCCCCTCTGTGTCCTCTGCGCATGTCTCCTCAGGTTCATATTCACCCAAAAAACGGAGAGCCAGGAGCAGGTTAAACAGGTCTTCCCTAGGAATCTCTTTGTAGGAAGAGACAAGACCCTTCCTAAAAGGTGGCTTCAACAGTCCCCCAAGCCACGCCAACCCCTTCCAACCCTTACCGTGGAGTCATGGGGAAGACAATGGGCACTGGAGGAGGCAGAGGGCAGAGGAGCATACAGAAAAAGGCCCAAAGGAAGAGGACACCACCCTCCACCCCCGACCCCTGCCCACTGGTGCACGTCTGACGCCGCCTGACGCCTGGGTAGCAAGCGTCCAAGTAGCAAAAAGCTCTGTCCGGGGATAGAAACCACCAACCCAGCAATTACACGTGCAACCCACCTCGTATCCGCTACATCCAAAGCACAGACTACATCCCCAGAACGCCCAAACTTCTGAACTCAGGAGACTCCCCTGCAGCCCCAGGACCCAGTTCCAGAAATCTGGAACTGAAGGCTCTAGAAACCAAAGAACTAATTGGGAGGCTGACGGCCAATGCGGTGGAGAGACGCGCACGGTCCACAGAGAGCACAGTGGTCTGAGCCCGGCGTCCGGGGAGAAGCTGGTGGCCACCGTGCCCATTTCACAGCCGCACTTCACAGCCCACCCCGTCCAAGGCACCCCTCCTCTCGAGTGTCCCCTCCGGGGGGTGGGGAGGGCGGGAGGAGAGACCAAGACAGAGCTGCCTTACCCAAAAGCCCAGTGCCCAGCCATCTCGACGGGGCTTCGACTCGGACGCCAGGCCCAGACATCGTCCTGTTCTCTCCAAAGCTCGCCGGGGTGCGGGGATGGGACACTGGACACAGGCGCGCTCTCAGCCCCCTGTCGGCAGTCAGCGCCGGAGCTGCCGGGAGCTCTGCGCCGCGGGTCTGGGCTCGGGAAAGTTTGCGGTGAGAGAGTGAGGGGACGGGGAGGGCGCCGAGGGCAAGGGAGGCGCGTTCGCCTGCCGCCAGGAGCCGGCTGCGGGAGCGGCGGCAGGAGGGAGGGGAGGAGGAGCGGGAGAAGGAGGAGGAGGAGGACAGCGGGCGGGCGCAGAGGCGAGCGAGGCTGCACCTCTGCTCTGGACGCGCTCCAGCGGCAGGAGGGGCGGTGGCCACCGCGGAGCCGAGGGTGCCCCCGCTCGCTGCACACCCAGCCCGGCGTGCCCCGCCTCGTGGTCCTGGAACCCCGGGAGCACCCTGGGCCCCCCACTCCTACTCCAGCTTGGGCTGGGCTGCTGCGGCTTGGCACTGCAGGGCTGGCCCGCAGCAGCCTGCATCATCCTAGCCGCTGAGCTGCAATTAGGAGGATCATTTTGAGGGTAGGGGTGGAGCTTTTGGGTTGCTGGAAGACTGTTTCGTTCTGTTTTGTGAAACCCAGGTAGGGTAGCAGCTCCCTCTCGGGGGAGCCTCCCAGGGACCGCTTGAACGGCCGCAGCGGACGCTGCCGGAGCCGGTAGGGGTGTGCGGACTTGCCCACTGAGGCTGCATCTCCGAGCGGCACGGGCAGGCCCCGGAGCTCCGGCAGCCTCGGACCTCGGCGCCTGCCGCCTGCTGCCCCGGCGCGTTCATCAGCTCTGGGGTTGCTTCAGGCCGCGGGGAGCAGATCCTGCCGGTGCAACCTGCCCCCGCCCTCCAGTCTCTCCCATTTCCTCATAGACTTCGGAAATCATGATGCTCCTGGTTAGGGGTCTGGCCAGACACTCACTACCTTTCAGCGATTTGGCGTCTCGTCTGCCGCCCTGCGCCCCACTTTATCGTCCCGCATTTCTCATTTTTCCCACCTAGGGCACTCGGCTCAGACTCTGCCCTTTCACCCTCCTCCAAGAGTTCCCAGTCTCCTTCGGAACCCGCCTCCAAATTCAGCAGACTGAATTTGCCTCCCTTTTGGGGGGGGAGGTGGAGGAGCCAAGGGCAAACTTGGGGGTCACAGCCAGATCGGAGGGCTGAGGCGAACCTGCAAACCAGCAAGCCTTTTTCTAGGCAGTCCTGACTTAAAGTGAGTAGTGCTGTTTGGGGTGGTTTGACAAATAGGTCAGAAATCCTCCACGGAACTCCCTTCGCCAGCCATCGGAGCACCCTCCCGCCATCACAGGCCCTTCGGCTGTTCCAGCCCCTCCATTCCTTCCCTGTCTGGAGATAAATTCAGCCTTGGAAACCCTGCTCCATCTTCATGGCCTGAGCCCTGCTGCAGCCCCAGCAAGGCCTCCTAACCACTGACCTTCTTTACCTGGGGTCCCAGGGTACACTTCAGAGAGCTCATGAACCCCTTGAAGTTGTATGCTGAAGGCTGAATGTATTTGATTCTTTCTTTCCAAGAGAGAGAGTCGGTGCCTTTCCTCAGTACAGTTGTTAGAATATATGGAGTTAGATAGTCTGCGGAGTTGAACCCCAGCCCCACCGTTTCTTACTGTATGACTGGGCAAGTTACTCAGTCCTCTGGAGAAACCTCTGCTCCTCATCCGTAAAATGGTGAAAGTAATTACCTCGTAAGAATGTTAAGAGCAATGCCACCCTTAGACCTGGGCAAGAGGAGCCTCAATCCTGGGCCCCTGATGTTAGAGGGTCTCACTTCAGGCCTCCTTTGGCCATGCCCCTCCTCACTGGAGAAGGAGGCCATGGGACCAAGGGAGGGGCCAAGCATCCCTCCTCTTCTAAACTGTGCTCTAGGTATCTGGGACCCTGGATTTCCCGGCCCTAATGACCCAGAGCCCATTTCTAGGGACTGCGGGCATTCAAAGGCATGTACAAGAGTCACTGTCAATTCAAGACCAGAGAAGAGAGTAGACCAGGGACCAGTCCAAACATTCCATTTTGTGCCTGGTGTTCCAGGTCCTCAGGAAGGAAAATTAATCAAGGGCGGATGATAAAAGATATTTTAACACTTTGTTATCTTGATTTATAACTTATATTTAGACAGATGACATGTGATTTCCATTTGTGCACTTGCCCCAGGCCTCACAAACATCCAACGTGGACTTGGCTGTGAAGATCAAATAAGATATTGCATGTAAGAATGCTTGCTAGTATTACTAGAGTATTAGTATGGTAAGCAGTCAATACATTTTAGCTCTTATTATTCTCAATGAGGTTTGTGGCCCAAAAAGGCTAACCCTGCTCCGTCCTCTGCTTACCCTCTCCTCCCGCAGGAGGTCACAGACACTGCCTCAGCTCATGCACAGGGCCAAGCACCCACACTGCCCACTTTGTTTTTACAGCAGAGGTCATGTTTCTCAGAGCAAGAGGCTAAGGTGAGAGAGGAGGTGAGCCAAAGGGAAAGAAAGTGACCCCTACCCAGAGAAGGGGGAGGGGACAGAGCTCCATGGATATTTTTAGATCCTGGTGACAGGCGATGGGGCCAGTTTCCTCAGTGCCCTCTCCTCCACCTTGCCTGTTGCCTCGCAGCCCACGGATTCTTAGAGCTGCAGGGTCCTTAGGAAACCCCCAAACCTTACCGATGATGCAACAGGCCCAGAGAGCTCCGATGAGTTGCCCAAGGTCACAGAGAAAGTTCCTGTTCAAGCCAAAATTAGAACCTCCCCCATTCTCTGGTTCTCCAACTCGACACCCCCAGCTTTCTTCTAAAGAACGCCAGGAGGGCTCTGCAGCTGGGCTGAAAAAGTGCTTGAGAAATGCATTAGTGGCTAGAGGATTTTTACATTTATAGAGCACTTTCCTCAAAAATTCTCAAAAACCTTTCATGTGTATGAGTCCATTGATCCAGCTTAGAGGATCCTCTGAGGATGCCAGGGGAGAGACAAAAGGTCGGAATTCCTTCTCTCCCACATTTTCAAAACTCTCACCCTAACTGAGTCCTTCTTCAACCAGCTCAGAGACCCCCAGTCACTGGGTGGAGTTAGGAAGAAGTGGGCCCCTCCCCTGCCTGCTGCTGGAAGTCCCTGTCAGACAGGGATGGTGTCTTCTGTGGTCCCAACAGACTTGATTCCTGGTGATGGAGTAATGCAGTCAAGGCTTGGGTGGCCTGGCTCAGAAATCCCTTGAAGAGCAAGTTTTCAGCGATGCAGAGATGGACGGGGCCCTGTGCCAAGGAACTGCCAAAGAGCTGGTCATGCTCAGGCTGGAGGAGATGGGCCTACGTTTAAGGGGAAGGAGATTGTTTCCTTGGAGGATTCACGTGGGGTTCTTTGAAGCAGTTAGTCCAACAGTCATCTCTGAGACCAGGCAGCAGACTCAGCTCACCCCTCCCCCTCCTCCTCCCCGCCCTCTCAGGGAGCTGGATTAGAGCTAGGAGAGCGATCCGCTTTTCCAGGAGGGGCCAGCCTATAAGGAGTCAGTGTGTGGAGGGGGGAAGTGGGATGGGCAGTAATAGGGGCAGAGCTCCAGCTCCCAGCCTCCCGGAGCTGCCCTTACACCGGAAGTCACCCCTTGGGGTGGCATCACCTTCTGCAGAGGAATGGGGCAGGGAGATGGAAGGCTCAGTCCCCTGTCAGTTCCCAGAAAGCTGCCAAGACCCCATGCAGGGAAAGAAGGAAGGGAATGCGAGAGCTCCGATGTAGTCTCTGGAACTATTTTGAGAGGAGTCCCTCCTAACTAACTAGAGCCCGGTAGGGAGCCTCCTCTCCTTCTGGCTCCCCTATTGCCCTTGCCTGCCCGCCTCCGTCTCCCCCTTCATCCCCCATAAACCCTCGCACGCAGTTGATTCCTGTAGGGGCATTGAAGGTAACAGAGCTGGAGCTCGGCGCTGACTTGGCTCTTAGGGCCAGACAACGTGGAGCTCTGCAGAGAAGCTTCCACACCACCCCCACCTCACAGCTCCTCTCCAGCCTCAGGAGCAGTGTCTGCTTCACCTTCCCTGAGCCACCCTCTGGTGTAAATAGGGCCTGGCCTCAGGACCTGACCGTGGACCTGCAGGCACCCAGATTCTCTGCATGCATTAACTTAAATGCCCATAAATCCTTCTGCCTTTTAGGTTGGGTGGACCCTACTTGGGCAAACTTTTGGGAGCCTCCTTCTTGTGTACCTAGGGCTTTTTCCTGCCCCTCCCTATTCACCACCCCTCCCCTCCAGCCCAGAGCACCCACTGACCCCCAACCATAGTCTAAGCATCCACTGAAGTTTGGCAGGTGCCGAGGGGGTTAACAGGACAGCATGCACCAAATTAACCGCAGGCACGTGGCTCAGCAGTCCAGCAGGGAACGCGGCACTGGCCAGTCCCCACCCCCATGTCTGGAGCCACCTGGTCACTCACATCCCCCAGCGAGTTGGAGTAAAGACAAACTCCTCCTGAACCCTCTTCCCAGGAGAGTCCGATGCTGCTTCTCACCCATCTCCACCTTCTAAGGGCTCTGGGTGCAGGCAGGTAGGCAGCCACCTCCTCCATCCTTCCTTCCCCTTTTTCTGCCTTCTGCCAGGTTCCATCCAAATATTCTTTCAGGCAAAGGGGGGTGAGGAGCCCCAGACAACAGATGAGCTCATTGGGAGGAGGAGGGCAGAGGGAGGAGGGAGCTGAAATATCCTGACCAGAATGCTGCTCATCGGATAGTCCCAAGCCAGAAAGGGGTGTGTGCCTGCTTCCAGCAGCAGGCGTCTGCTTCCCTCGCTGCAGCTTAGAGATGGGGTGAGTCGTGAGTCGCGGGCATCTCTTTATTGTGAGCCGCGTTGGGGTGGGATGTGAAGCCCTGGGGCAGGGTCTCTGCCACTCTACCCAGCACCCCAGAGCTGTGTTTACCTGTCTACTTCATGGGTCACCATGCCTCCCTACCCCCCATCAAGGGACGATAAGGATTCTGGAGGGCTGGGGGCTGGAGACGTTGGGAAGGTTTGTCATTCATTGCAGCCTGGCTTCCCATGGAACTGCCTGGCCAGCTGAATGTCCACATGTCCTCCTGAAATGCTACACCTGGTCCTGCCCCCAAACTGGGCACAGGAGACAGATCAACCCAGCCAGGCCAGAGTCAT